TCATCTCACTCCACTCCCCTCCACGCACTCTCCTGCCTCTCCCCTCTCATCTCACTCTGCCCCCCTCCACGCACTCTCCTGCCTCTCCCCTCTCATCTCACTCCACTCCCCTCCACGCACTCTCCTACCTCTCCCCTCTCATCTCACTCCACTCCCCTCCACGCACTCTCCTACCTCTCCCCTCTCATCTCACTCTGCCCCCCTCCACGCACTCTCCTGCCTCTCCCCTCTCATCTCACTCCACTCCCCTTCCACGCACTCTCCTACCTCTCCCCTCTCATCTCACTCTGCTCCCCTTCCCTCTCATAGCAGGGGTTACCAAAAATATTTCCAAAATCATGAGCAAACACAAGATCCAGATTCGATTTAACACGGTACATCAAATCTGTGATCTGATCCCATCTGTAAAGGATGTGATCCCTGACTTGCAATACCCCGGCGTCTACAAACTAAGCTGTGTCTGCGGCAGTAGTTATATTGGGGAAACTAAGCGACATGTCTCGGACCGTGTTCGTGAACGCAAGGCGGATCTGAAACACGGTAGGACCAATACCTCGGCCGTGGCTGATCATTGTTTAAATGCGGTGTGCTCACACAAAATTAATTTCTCTAAGACGAAGGGACTTTGCAAACCCACTGGCTATCAACAAAGATTTGTTCGTGAAGCCATCCATATATACAGACACAATTTCAACCGAGAAGATGGGTACAAACTCAGCAATCACTGAAAGCACGTTATCAACCAGTTTAAGTCACAACTGGCTGCGATGTTCGCATCCTACCACCTTGCGATGTTAGTTGTTATTTTCGGCTCTCTGATTTTACATTAACAGGTTACATTACTCACACTTACACGACCACCTTCGCGCGCCGACCTAGAGGTTGCGGCTCTGCGATCTGCCATTAACCTGCTAATCTCTCACATTAACACGCTAATTTCTCACATTAACACGCTAATCTCTCACATTAACATAGCCACCTCAGCGCGCTCGCCGTGGAGGCCGCTCACCGATCTTACATTAACATGCTAATTTTTATATTCCTAGGTTTTTTCGGTAAAGTCACGTAGGTAAAAAAATTAAAATTAATAAAAGTAAAATAAAAAAATCACGACGTTTCGGAGGCAACACAAGTTTCCGTGTTCAGGTGGAACCGTCACAGCACGCTTGCTGTATCAAGTAAATGAGAGATTCCAAGAAATACTACCCCGTATATATATACTGGTTGAGGGGGTGTGTCTCCCTGTGTCTCTCACCCAGTGTGTGTCTCTGTCTCCCTGTGTCTCTCTCCCAGTGTGTGTCTCTGTCTCCCTGTGTCTCTCTCTCCCAGTGTGTGTCTCTGTCTCCCTGTGTCTCTCACCCAGTGTGTGTCTGTCTCCCTGTGTCTCTCTCCCAGTGTGTGTCTCTGTCTCCCTGTGTCTCTCTCCCAGTGTGTGTCTCTGTCTCCCTGTGTCTCTCACCCAGTGTGTGTCTCTGTCTCCCTGTGTCTCTCTCCCAGTGTGTGTCTCTGTCTCCCTGTGTCTCTCACCCAGTGTGTGTCTCTGTCTCCCTGTGTCTCTCTCTCCCAGTTTGTGTCTCTGTCTCCCTGTGTCTCTCTCTCCCAGTGTGTGTCTCTGTCTCCCTGTGTCTCTCACCCAGTGTGTGTCTCTGTCTCCCTGTGTCTCTCACCCAGTGTGTGTCTCTGTCTCCCTGTGTCTCTCTCCCAGTGTGTGTCTCTGTCTCCCTGTGTCTCTCTCCCAGTGTGTGTCTCTGTCTCCCTGTGTCTCTCTCCCAGTGTGTGTCTCTGTCTCCCTGTGTCTCTCTCCCAGTGTGTGTCTCTGTCTCCCTGTGTCTCTCTCCCAGTGTGTGTCTCTGTCTCCCTGTGTCTCTCTCCCAGTGTGTGTCTCTGTCTCCCTGTGTCTCTCTCCCAGTGTGTGTCTCTGTCTCCCTGTGTCTCTCACCCAGTGTGTGTCTCTGTCTCCCTGTGTCTCTCTCCCAATGTGTGTCTCTGTCTCCCTGTGTCTCTCACCCAGTGTGTGTCTCTGTCTCCCTGTGTCTCTCTCCCAGTGTGTGTCTCTGTCTCCCTGTGTCTCTCTCCCAGTGTGTGTCTCTGTCTCCCTGTGTCTCTCTCCCAGTGTGTGTCTCTGTCTCCCTGTGTCTCTCTCCCAGTGTGTGTCTCTGTCTCTCCCTGTGTCTCTCTCTCTCTCCATAATAATAAAAAGGCCCCCTTTTTATTATTATGATGGTAAGGTTGGTGCGGCTTGAGACTACGGCTAGTCTACATAACAAAGGACTGAGCCTTTGTTATGTAGACTGGCTGAGAAGGGGGGGGGGGGGTGCCAGAGTTGTTAAAGTGCAACTGCTGCTAATGAGACCGAGCCTCAGCTGCCCCTCCCACCACTCACATTAACATCAACTGCCCCGCCCACCACTCATATTAACATCAGCTGCCCCGCCTACCACTCACATTAACATCAGCTGCCCCGCCCGCAACTCACATTAACACCAGCTGCCCCGCCCACCACTCACATTAACGTCAGCTGCCCCGCCCGCCACTCACATTAACATCAGCTGCCCTGTCCACCACTCACATTGACATCAGCTGCCCCTCCCACCACTCACATTAACATCAGCTGCCCCGCCCACCACTCGCATTAACATCAGCTGCCCCACCCACCACTCACATTAACATCAGCTGCCCCGCCCACCACTCACATTAACGTCAGCTGCCCCTCCCACCACTCACATTAACATCAGCTGCCCCGCCCACCACTCACATTAACATCAGCTGCCCTGCCCGCCACTCACATTAACATCAGCTGCCCCGTCCACCACTCACATTAACACCAGCTGCCCCGCCCGCCACTCACATTAACATCAGCTGCCCTGCCCGCCACTCACATTAACATCAGCTGCCCTGCCCACCACTCACATTAACATCAGCTGCCCCGCCCGCCACTCACATTAACATCAGCTGCCCCGCCCACCACTCACATTAACATCAGCTGCCCCCGCCCACCACTCACATTAACATCAGCTGCCCCCGCCCACCACTCACATTAACATCAGCTGCCCCACCCACCACTCACATTAACATCAGCTGCCCTGCCCGCCACTCACATTAACATCAGCTGCCCCGCCCGCCACTCACATTAACATCAGCTGCCCCCGCCCACCACTCACATTAACATCAGCTGCCCCGCCCACCACTCACATTAACATCAGCTGCCCTGCCCGCCACTCACATTAACACCAGCTGCCCCGCCCACCACTCACATTAACATCAGCTGCCCCGTCCACCACTCACATTGACATCAGCTGCCCCTCCCACCACTCACATTAACATCAGCTGCCCCTCCCACCACTCACATTAACATCGGCTGCCCCGCCCACCACTCACATTAACATCAGCTGCCCCACCCACCACTCACATTAACATCAGCTGCCCCACCCACCACTCACATTAACATCAGCTGCCCCGCCCACCACTCACATTAACATCGGCTGCCCCGCCCGCCACTCACATTAACATCAGCTGCCCCGCCACCACTCACATTAACATCAGCTGCCCCACCCACCACTCACATTAACATCAGCTGCCCCGCCACCACTCACATTAACATCAGCTGCCCCGCCACCACTCACATTAACATCAGCTGCCCCGCCACCACTCACATTAACATGAGCTGCCCCGCCCGCCACTCACATTAACATCAGCTGCCCCGCCCGCCACTCACATTAACATCAGCTGCCCCACCCGCCACTCACATTAACATCAGCTGCCCCGCCCACCACTCACATTAACATCAGCTGCCCCGCCCACCACTCACATTAACATCAGCTGCCCTGCCCGCCACTCACATTAACATCAGCTGCCCCGCCCGCCACTCACATTAACATCAGCTGCCCCGCCCACCACTCACATTAACATCAGCTGCCCCGCCCACCACTCACATTAACATCAGCTGCCCCGCCCGCCACTCACATTAACATCAGCTGCCCCGCCCACCACTCACATTAACATCAGCTGCCCTGCCCATGCTGCTGACACTTGGGCTACGCCCATTTTAAACCTCTATAAACAGTTTGCCTTTAGAGGCTAACCCCCTTTTCCTGATGACGAACGCTTGTTTTGCGATCGAAACGTCGTAGTTTTTTTGTTATTTTCTTAGAACCTATCCACGTGACTTTACCGAAAGACCCAAAGAATACGAATTCCTGCAGTCACGAAAGCTTCGAGTCAAGGTTAAATCGGCGTGCAATTTACTGTATTTGGCTGCTATACATTTCCACGTGCTGATTATGACGACAAGCCACTTCGTTGCGCTATCATTTGTGACAGCCAGGCATGCTTCTGAGAAAAGAGCTCGATAGCTCAGTGGGCCTTGGCCGCTAAAATAAAAATAGCTCTGTTTAGTTGATGCGCGTGTGTGCGTGTGTGCGTGTGTGCGCGTGTGCGAACCCGGCGGCCTGAGTTCGATTCCCGCTCACGGCCAACAACACCAGTGACGATTATCAGAACCGGCCCTGGGCCTCCCCTAGGTCGACTCAGCCTCAAATGAGTACCTGGTGCGATGTGTAAACATCGCCACTGGGGAGACAACGGCAGGCCGGGCGTGGTGTCGGCCACCCGCCCCCTCGTTTGCCGTGCCGGCCTTCATAGGTGCTCGCTAACAGCACTTGCCCCCACAGTCTGTTAGAGGCTATACGGGGGGGATCTTCGTCTTCTTGTGTTCGTGTGTGGTTGTGTGTGGTTGTGTGCGTTCGTCCGTGTGTTCATCCGTGCGTTTGTCTGCGCTTGTAGGCCTGGCCTGGCACAAGCGTCTTGGCGACGCCCCCCGCCGCTTAGAGGCGAACGGCGGATTTTGTTGTTGTTGTCGCTGCAGAGTTCGTAGGTGCTACTCGCTAACGCCACTTGCCCCAACAGTCTGTTGAGGCTATACGGGGGTGGTGGTGGTGGGATCTTTGTCTTTGGTGTGGGGGGGATTGCTGTCTTCGCGCGTGAGCACGTGAAGGCCTCACCGGCGGGTAGCAGGCGGATGCGCCCGTCGCTGGCCGCCACGTCGAGGGGCAGGTAGTCCTTGTACCACGTGACCGCGGGCTCCGGGTTGCCGCTGGCGGCGCACAGCATGGTGACGGTGCGCGTGCGCTCCACCACCTTGAGCTGCGGTGCCATGTCGATGCGCGGGAAGCCAGCAGGCACCTGCTCCTCTGTACAGGGGGAGCCGGGGTGGGCATCGGTGGGTGGGGTGGGGGGCAGGGAGGGAGGTAGGGGGAGGTGAGGGAAGACGGAGAGAGGGCAGTGTTGTTGAGAGCGAAGGTCGTGGGCGCAGCGGTGTCCGAGATGTTGACTACCTCGCCTGGTGCGCAGACGTCGTGGGTTCGATGCTGAACCCTGACGCCTGTTGCTGTATTTTTGGAGTTTGCGTGTCTCTCTCTTTCTCATCATCATCATTATCACGGTGGCTAGGAGATGTTAACCTCCTTCTCATGGTATGCAGGAGGTCGTGGGTTCCATCCCGACCCCTGACGACGCCTGCTGCTGTATTTTTGGAGTTTGCGTGTCTCTCTCTCTCTCATCATCATCACGGTGGCTAGGAGATGTTAACTACCTCGCCTGGTGTGGAGGAGGTCGTGGGTTCCATCCCGACCCCTGACGACGCCTGCTGCTGTATATTTGGAGATGGCGTGTCTCGCTCTCGCCCCGTGGTGAGATGTGAACTACCTCGCCTGGTGTACAGGAGTTCGTGGGTTCCACCCCGACCCTGTGACGCCTTCTGCTGTATATTTGGAGTGAGTGCCCCTCTTTCTTTCCCCGCGGTCGCATGGTTTTTTCCCCCTCCACATTTAAAATCGATGGGCGCTCAAGAGCATTTGGCAGCCATAAATGTCCACTTGATGATGATAAGCCACTTCGTCGGGCTATCACTTGTGACGGCCGGGGTAAAAAAATAAAAAAAATTTAAACTACAGACATCAGTCTGAGCGTCAACACGAAACGGACTGACGAAGCGGTTGGGCCAGGGGCCTCGGCAAACCAGCGGGCTCTTTGCGGAACTTCTTCGTGAAGTTATTTGACGAGAACCGCCGTCTCGTATGCACCAGGCGCGTCGCCGGCTCTTGAAATATCCAATTCGAAAAACTAAAATGGCTCGCCTTGTTATTCTATGTTTGCCGTGCCCCTGGGTTAAGCAAGCGAGCGCGCCATCGGCTAATCCTCCTCCAATTAGCGCGGTTTGCTACGCACGGGGCGAAAGGAGTTTCAGCGTGCATACGTGCGTATTAGCATGGTCGGATACGTACGGTGCGAAAGGAGTTTCAGCGTGCATACGAACGTATTAGCATGGGCGGATACGTACGGTGCGAAAGGAGTTTCAGCGCGCATACATACGTATTAGCATGGCCGGCTACGCACGGTGCGAAAGGAGTTTCAGCGTGCATACGTGCGTATTAGCATGGTCGGATACGTATGGTGCGAAAGGAGTTTCAGCGCATACGTACGTATTAGCATGGCCGGCTACGTACGGGCGAAAGGAGTTTCAGCGCATACGTACGTATTAGCATGGCCGGCTACGTACGGTGCGAAAGGAGTTCGACTTAAATATGTATTAGCACGGGTGGCTACGTAGGGTGCGAAAGAAGTTCAACGTACACACGTATTAGCACAGTTAGTTACGTACGGGGCGAAAGAAGTTTAACGTACGTACACACATACACACGTACAAGCCAACTTGGCCGGGAGGCAAATCAACATCGCCCGAGTGGGAAAGGGACCTGATTGTTTAATGAGAGCTTCTTCTAAGCTTTGTTTAATTGGGTCTCTGGAGGGAGCGGGGGTGGGGGTTGTGTCTTCTCTCTCATCGACATCACTGAGCTTGGGGCGAGTGGAGGGGGAGGGGGGGCGGAATTTGTTGCGGGGAGCGGTGGCGCAGCGGTTAGCGCGCGCCACGCTACGCACACCGGCGGCGGTGGGCCGAGTTCCGTTTTCTTGAACCGGTCCTGGCCCTCCGCCGCTCGAATCAACGTCATCCGTTCATCGGTCATTTGACCCGCCACTGTGCCGGTAAATACAAAAGACCACTTTGCGTTGAGCCGTCATTTTTTTGTGGTGGTGAACGCTTCTAAAAAATAAAAAGAGCTCAATGGGGGGCCGACGTAGAAACTAAACGACGGGCTGACGTACCCTGAACACCGTGACGTGACCACAGGAGAGAAAGAAAGAGACACAAACTCCAAATACACAGCAGCAGGCGTCACAGGATGGAACCCACGACCTCCTGTATACCGGGCGAGGTAGTTAACATCTCACCACGGGGAGAGAAAAACACCCTAACTCTACATATACAGCAGGTGTCAGGGTCAGGATCGAACCCACGACCTCCTGTATACCAGGCGAGGTAGTTAACATCTCACCATTGGGAGAGAGCGAGACACGGAAACTCCAAATACACAGCAGCGGGCACCACATGGTCGGGATCAAACCCACGACCTCCTGTATACCGGGCGAGGTAGTCAACATCTCCTAGCTGACCGTGGCCGGACAGAGGTGACCTCTGGGATGAAATAATAACAATTTATTTATTCTCTCTCTCTCGTTTTTTTTCTTCTTCTCAAGGACGAAACAAAATGAAGCGGATGAGCGGCGGGGCCTGCAGCGGAGTTAATGAAGTGAAATCCGGCGCGGGCGGGCGGGCGGGCGTAAAAAAAACACATGCTAAGACCCCCCCCCCCACCGCCCCCCACCGTGCAGCCTCAACAGACTGTTGGGGCGATCGCAACAGATGCGGATTTCACCACCCTGATGCACAAGCGGGAACATTTTTTTAAATCCTTTATATTAAGTTCACTTGCGTGCTTGCTTGCTTACGACCGTGCAAATCTTTCGGTCGTTTTTAAACCCACTTCCCGTGATCCAATCGAGCTGACATTTTGCACACAGACTCGTCGTGCGTGACAATTTATTTTCGTGAAAAAATGTTTTCCAAAATTTTACACTTTTTAGGAAATTTTTTTTGTTATATTTAATTACCAATTGCTTAATGGTGGCAGGAAATCATCTGACCCATAGGTGGCAGCCATCTCAAGCCAGAGGACGAGAGGACTCTAGCCGCCACGCATATAAAGGATTTATAGTGAAAAACTTAGTTTTTACGGGTTAATTTTTTTTTCTTCTTCGAAACTCTCCAGCGGTAGCGTGCGACTGTGGTCATCCGCCCCCCCCGCCCTCCGTGACAACGCGATGCACCGATCCTCGGACGCGAAGGAGGCATCGTCGCGGCGATGCACCGCGTCGATTTGCTCCCGACGCGGCTGCCCGGGGCTTGACCGCCCGGACGCGCGAAGTCGCGTTGTCGTCGCTCTGCCATCGGCCGCCCTCGACGGAGCGACGTGCGCCGAGGACCAGTTCAAACGATCGTCACCGGCGCGGTTGGCGTTGGCCGTGAGCCGGGAATCGAAGTCGGGTTCGCAGCCGGGTTCGTGGCGCGGCGCGGCAAGCGCTACGTCACCGCTCCACCACCACTATCACCAAAGACAAAGACCACCCGTGTAGCCTCTAGCAGACTGTTGGGGCAAGTGCTGTTAGCGAGTAGCAGCAACATCTATGAAAGAGACAAAGACAAAGATCCCCCGTGTAGCCTCCAAAAGACTGTTGGGGCAAGTGCTGTTAGCGAGTAGCAGCAGCACCTATGAAGGAGACAAAGACAAATATCCCCCGTGTAGCCTCTAACAGACTGTCGGGGCAAGTGCTGTTAGCGAGTAGCAGCAACATCTATTATAGAGACAAAGACAAAGATCCCCCGTGTAGCCTCTAACAAGACTGTTGGGGCAAGTGCTGATAGTGGGTAGCTGCAGCACCTATGAAGGAGACAAAGACAAAGATCCCCCGTGTAGCCTCTAACAAGACTGTTGGGGCAAGTGTTGTTAGCGAGTAGCAGCAACATCTATTAAAGAGACAAAGACAAAGATCCCCCGTGTAGCCTCTAACAAGACTGTTGGGGCAAGTGCTGTTAGCGAGTAGCAGCAGCAGCACCTATGAAGGAGACAAAGACAAAGATCCCCCGTGTAGCCTCTAACAAGACTGTAGGGGCAAGTGCTGATAGCGGGTAGCACCTATGAAGGCCGGCACGGTACACGAGGGGGTGGGTGGCCAGCACCACGCCCGACCGCCTTTGTCTCCCCAGTGGCGATGTTTACTACACATCGCACCAGGCACTCATTTGAGGCTGAGTTGACCTAGGGGAGGTCCAGGACCGGTTCAGATAATCGACACCGGTGTTGGCCATGAGCGGGAATCGAATTCGGGTGCTGGGTTCATAGCGCAGCGTAGCGCTCACCGCTACACCATACACAGGCCACTCAAGAACCACACTCACACACACCAACACACCACATCACACATACACACACCAACACACCACATCACACACACACACCACACCACATCGCACTCACACACACACAAACACACCACATCTCACTCACACACACCAACACACCACATCACACACACACACCAACACACCACATCACACACACACACCAACACACCACATCACACACACACACCAACACACCACATCACACACACACACCAACACACCACATCACACACACACACACCAACACACCACATCGCACTCACACACCCCAACACACCATATCACACACACACACACCAACACACCACATCACACACACACACACCAACACACCACATCACACTCACACACACACACCAACACACCACATCTCACACACACCAACACACCACATCACACACACACCAACACACCACATCACACACTCACACACCACATCACACTCACACCAACACACCACATCACACACTCACACCAACACACCACATCACACTCACACACACACACCAACACACCACATCTCACACACACCAACACACCACATCACATTCACACACACCACATCACACTCACACCAACACACCACATCACACACTCACACCAACACACCACATCACACTCACACACACACCAACACACCACATCTCACACACACCAACACACAACATCACACACTCACACACACCAACACATCACATCACACACACCACATCACACTCACACCAACACACCACATCACACTCACACACACACACCAACACACCACATCTCACACACACCAACACACCACATCTCTCACACACAGCAGCACACATCACACACACACCAACA